GTCAGCCCAATTGACCTGTACAGTAGGCTTACTTTTTATATAGTAAAAGCAGCATGGTCATGTAAGGGGGTATGCACCAGTATGCCCTTTTACCCACCTATGGCTGGCTTCAGAAGATCTATATGGGAACACATGAGGATTTACCCAGTCTGGTGGTGGTTGTAATTGAGACCTGAGAAAGTTGAACAAAGAGCAAAACATAGGCAATAAAGCCATTTGTCCATGTATAAGTGTAATTGCTGGCTTTGTTCTTCCTAAAGTTGTTCTGGTCAGATCATTTGCAGCGTTTAACAGCTGTCTGCATTGGGACAATGTGATCTAAAAAGTGTCCTTTAAAGATTAGAGTATTTGATTAGTTTTGGCATTTAGGTTTAACGTTTTCCCTTTTTGTTAATTTCTGTGCTTACTGTATAATGCATTCTGCAGAATTGGATTTTTTTTTTTCCGAATTTGAAATATATCAGAAAGTCACAAAAAAACCCAAACTAAAGAATATGATTTCAAACCTTGGCTAGCAGATAAATTAATATTTTGAACTAGTATTACAGTATTTTTTTAAAAAAAAATATTTTTATATATATTTTTTAGTTGTTACATGCTATTTCAAAGTATATTTCCAGATGCAGATGTTTCCTGCCTTTCCAGGATTTCAAAGCAGGTGGTTTCCTTTTGACCTCACTATAGATGGTTTATGCCTGCAGTTATGCTCAATGTTTAAAATTCTAAGTTGCTGGCTGATAATTTGCTGTTTTCACCTATGGAAACAGTAATGCATATAACCAGTTTTACCTGGTAAAAATTATTGGTTAGAAGTTGCTTCAGGGTTGGAGTATGAAATAATGTATAAAATTTTACATTTTAAATGCCTAAAAAAGCATTAAAGATCTTTTGTTTTAAATTGTGAGCATCATGCTTCTGTGTGGGCTTTGAGAGGCAACAGTACAATTGGAGCTTTTGAAAAAAGCTTAAAAATTGTACTTTGATCTGTTTGTAGTTTGCAAAACAAGCTTTAAGTAAAATGGAGTGAGAGTAAGGTAACCTGCAGTTACTTTGCACTTGCTGTGGCACTGGTTGTGGTAGAGGACTCGCATGTCATATGTAACTTGAGCAAGCCTGAGCTCTAAACCATGGAATTCAAATACCAGTTTTTGAAAACTCCAGTGTACAGAAGTGTTTGGGCATCACGGTTTGAACTCCTTTTGTGCTGAAGGAGGGAGTGCTTTTTGTGCCTTGTTTTGGAAACTAGATTAATCCCATTAATATCTTAAAAAATCCAAATTCTCCCCCCCAACCCCAACAAAATGAAACAAAAAACAAAAAACCCACACCAAAAACAAACCAAAAAGCCCCAAACACCCCCACAAATAAAAACCCACACCACACCAAATAGAACACCACCAAAAACAAAACAACCAACCAAAAGACCCCATCAAAAAGCAAATTCCAAACTTCGAAAGGCTTCTAATTTACTATAGACATAGACCATCCATGACTGTTTAGCTGAGGAGGAATGATGCAGTCCTTCCAGCATAAACACCTACAGTTTATGGAAAACAACATAGGTATCTGTGAAGGTCTGCATGAGCAGATGGAACCTCTTCAGCTTACTTGTGCTTGTTACACCTGCAGAGGGTGACTTAATCATCATGCCTTTAGAGTATTTTAGGATGTGGTTTTGAGTAGACAGAGCTGGGATTCCAAGTCTTGCCCTGCATGTGTATTTTACAACACACCATTGCTGGGTTAATTGTAAAGTTCTGTGAGGAAAAACTTGACCTGGTCTTCCTTCTGCTTTCCAGCTGAGTGCTTTGGGCTTCAGTCAAGCTGCTCCTCCCCTGCTTTCCCACTGGGTCTGTGATTCATATATTCTTGGATGCGATTTGGCTCAGCTTCAAGGAATGAGATGGAAAATGCATTTATTTCTGATACACCATAATTAAGGTCCTTTTCCAAAGTGTGGAACATGTGGGTTCATCCAAGTTGTATCAGATGTGGAATCCAAATTCCCTACTTACTGATGAAGTGATTAACAACTTGAAAGTTGTGATGAAGATGGGAATGACTCCTCTCTTGCATGTAAAGTTAATCATAAATGCAAGAACATGCAGGGTTTGAAGCTGGAGGATTCCAGCAGAATTTAAATGCTCCTCCACATAAACTTAGGCCATGGCAAAAAGTTTGGGCAAGCTGTAGTTTCCATTTCTGAAACTTGTCAAGGCCATTTTGAAAATCCATCTGAACATATTTAGTAAGCATTGCAAGCAAAACCTTTGTTTTCGTTAGGAAAATAACAATCCTATAAATAATATATTGTAGAAAATCACAGAATCATAGAACAGTCTTGACTGGAAAGTTACTCTGGAGTTCATCTCATCCATCCTTCTTGGAGCAGGCCTGATTAGGTCTGGTTGTTCAAGGACTTGTCCCGTCAAATTTTTAGTATCTGTGGATAGGATGGAGATTCCACAACCTCTGAGCAACGTGTTGCAGTATTTGACCACCCTTATAAAGAAGGAGCTTTTCCCTACTTGCAGTCCAAATTTCCCACATTCCAAATTTGATCTGTCTGATTGGGTCACTGTGCACATCTGAATGGAATCTGTCTGTTTTCTGCACACCCTCCCATCGCATAGGTGCAGACAGCACTTCTTTTAACTTTTCTTTGTACACTACGTGCTCCACTCTCCTTGCCTTGTTTGCCTTCCACTGGACTTTTTCCAGTATGCTGATGCCATTCTTGTATGGGGGACCCAAACTCAAACAGGGGGAGACAGGACTTGTGATACAGTTTCACAGAATAAAAACTAGGAGAAAAAAGTAATTGTGAACAGCTTTGAGTCTTGAGTATAATGTGTTATGGCAATATATTGTTAAGTACTGTGAAGTGAAATGCCTTTCAGTTTTATTACTGAGAATATACAAAGTCTATGTATAAAAGCGTACTTCTAAGAGTAATCTATGTCTACTTTTAGATACTGTGGTTTAGAGATTTAGGAAGAATATTTCAGAAATTTAATAGTATTTAAATTTTCATGTATGTAAAGTTCTAATACCACAATCCAGCAAAATATTTCCCTTTTTGATAAGTGCTTTGCTGAATGAGAAGATGCAGCTGACTCTGTGTGTGTCTGAAGTGACTTTGATCTAGGCAAAGATTATTGCTCTAAGGTAACAGAGCACTTCCTGAACTCTGCAGGGCAGCAACGTATTTCTGTGACCAGCCTCCTGGTGTGCCATGGCTTATTGATGGTTGGAACAAACCTGGGTATAATAGTAGCGTTACCAGTGCCACGCTTGCAGGGGATTCCCAAAGTAACTGGTGAGTGAAATTTTCAAACAGATCAAGTCCAGTGGTTTTATACTTAAGATTTATTTTCTCTTCTGACAGTAGTTTAAGTAAACCTACCAAATTGTCTGCATTGTTTAGATATATATCTGAGCTTTGTGATGAAATGATATTTGTTGTTCTTCCTGAGCTTTGCAGTATACCCAGACACTTGTCTAGTTTTGTCTCAGTTGTTTGAGCCGGAGCAACTGTTTTTCTTTAGGGCATAAGAATAGGATAGGCATTAATCCTGATGGAGTACAGTCAAATATATGGGGATGAAAAGAGAATGCAAATAACCTTTCTTCCAGAATTGGGGAAAATAGATGCATTAGGTTTAGAGACACAGATGCTGAAAACATAGTGTGTTGTCTAGCTGTTTATTCAGTAAACTGGTTTTATGCCCTTTCTCCCCAGACAGGAGACCTGGAATATATAAGAATATATCTTTCATTTTTATGACAATGATCAAGATTTTTGTGTTTTGGAGAGTTGAGTTACTTCATATTACTGCATTTGAAATACAAATGCATGAATGCTGCTGTATCACTTTGCAAATGTTTAAGGTACTAGGAGAAGCAGGATTTTAGACGTCTGGTTAGTAGGGGCTTTGCACCAGTGTTTTGGATGTTTAGGGTTCGCAGTTCTGCTCAAGCTTTGCACTGTGGTGGGAAGCTGGCAGGTTTTGAGGCAAGCTGTCTGAAACTTCTTTGGAGAGAGGGAAGAGCTTATGTAACTTTGCAAAATGAAAACTAAATCCTCTGTGTTCAGCAAAATATGCAGTGATAATCCAGTATGACACAGGATAAATATGGAACCTCTATGTTAGTTGAAAATAAATGCAATACAAGAAAATGCATAGTTGCAGAATCAGAAAATCTGTCATTTTATTCTTTCATTGTCTATTTTCATTGTTGTGGTTTATATCATCTGTATGTCCTTGCATTTATTTTGGATTAAAATTTGTCATATTTCACAGATCCATCAACGTTACATTTAGAGATCTATTTTTATACTCTTTGATATTGTGTTTGGAATTTGAACTGAAAAATTGTGAATTTTTCCAGTTTTGCTTCCAATAGTGATAATTCATCTTTATATCATTGCACTTCCCATAAAAGCAGGATATGTTTTATTACATCCTGGAATGCATTAGGGAGTTAGGGATGGACAGAGTGATTTGTAGGGTTATGGGGTTTTCCCTTTGATAGCCTAGCTCTTTCCCATATTGTAGCTATTTTGTAGAATCCCACTTTTTTTCCTCTTCTTTTTTGCTGTAAAAGCCACACATACTGATATTGTTATAGCTTCTGAATTTGGCCATACACAATTTGGGGGTTTTATACATTTTAATGATTTGCACAGTGTAAATCTTCCTTGGACCACAAACATCCCACTGTTTAAATACTTTTTTTTTTTTTTAAAAAAAAGGGGGGGAAAAATAATGGTTTGGTCATTTCCTTATGAATCTGACATGGTAACTAGACAGCCATTTCGAGGATGAGTTTTAATTCCTGCTGCATAGTGTGGAGGGGTCTATTACAGTGAAACAGGTGTTCCTGTCTATTTTGGAGAGGTACAGAGGGACAAGAGGATTAATTAAAAAACACGGATTACTGGAGAAAACTCAGTGTTACATTTGTGAGAACAGAGCACAAAGGTAAGTCAAATTAAATTTATAACGCCATGTTTCAGGTGATTTACTAGTACAGTCCTAAATCACTTGTGGTACATTAAATTACTTTTTTGTGCTTATTTTTTCTGTAAATTGTGTACACACAAGGCAGAATAGGGTTTTAAGAGTTGTGCTATTCTGAGAAAATTTCACTAATCATGGTGAAACAATGTGCTAAAATAATGTTCTTTAATTGTCTTTCTCTTTTGGCTTCAGGAAGAGGAATAGTGTCGTATCATGCACACAATGGCCCAGTCAAGTTTCTTGTACTGGCTGCATCTCTAAACAAGAAGAACAGAAACAAATTGCGGAACAGCCTGCCTTCTGGCTCCGAACCTAAAGAGGATGACCAAAAGAACGTTCTGCACAATGAAAGACTAGGTTCTTCCCTTAGTAATGCCCATGACACGGCAATTTGGCTGGGGGGTTCAGTAGGATCCATTGCACAAAAAAGTGACTTGTCATCATCTTCTGGATCCCTTACGATGTCTCATGGATCAAGTTCCCTAGAACACAGGCCAGAAGACAGTAACATTTATGAGCTTTTGAAAGATCGAAATATCTCATTTAAAAGTAAAAGACAGAGATCCAAGAAAATGAAAGCAAGTTCAGTATTAGTCATTTCTGGTGGCCAAGGACACAGAAGAGTGAACAAGAAGACCAAGCAGCAGCGACAAGATGAACTAGTGTCTTCAGTGATGGTCTGGCAAGTCCCACTATTAAATATCTAATTGAACTAAATCCAAGACACCTTCTGCTGTTAAAAAAAATCTGATATCCTTTTACAGCAGATGCCAGCTTAGGACCCAAATGGATAGACTTTATGCACCTGGAAGCAATTTCAGTAGGCTGTGATCACAGGATTAAGAGTTGCAAGATAGTCTTTACATACTTAGAATATTCTGCAGTATTAAGGTATCGGAAAATGTTCAGCAATTGATGCTGTCCTTGATACTCAGAACAAAAAGGATCTGTTAGACACTTTTAAACGGTTTTAGAATCTGTACCTTATTTATATTCACATTTATAAATATCATAATTATGTTCTATAGCACTTAGAGAAGGCAAGGAACACATGCCATGTCTCATGCAGGTTTTTGCCGATGTAAATCAGCTGTTGTTTCATTTTCCAATTTGGCATATTGCATGGACTGTAGATTTTAACAAATTACCAATATTTTTAAACAATAAATAGTCTAATGCAAGCTAATAATAATTTGGTAATTACTAGAATAGTTTGTAACATTGTATCAAAAGCCAGAGTTTGGTCTGGACAAAAGCAGTTATATTAATTGATTGGTATTTGTTTATTTCAACATAGAAAATAGATTTTAATTATTATTAATATTTCTAATGCTCAGTATTATTAAAAATGTTGCAGTACAAAATGCAAATTCATGTTCTTGGTAGGTGCAATGTATCTGTGACTCACCTTCATTACACAGAGAAAGTTCAAAAGATGCTATGGCTTACAGAAAACAGAAAATACAGGTACAGGGCCACTGTTCATTGTAGTGCTGTTAACCCATTCTCCCCGGCAACTCAGTACCAAAGCTAGACATGGACTATGCCATTTTTAAGGCAGATGCACATCCAGTAAATTAATAATGAAATTTTTAACTGGGGAGAAAGATACTAATATTGGAATATCTATAGGAAGTACAGGGTAATTACTGTGGGTGTAGGCCCTACATCAATTGATTTGTGCTGTGTCCTCAGGCAAACGCCAGTCAAATAATGTCACAGCACAACAGCAGAGATATGGTCATATCTTAGTGGTGGTCACCTCTTTCCAGACAGAGTTTCAGCAAAATGTGGTCATGTAAATAGATATTGTGAAAATAGCATGCACAGCTTCATTCACTCAGCTGAGGAAGCAGTTGCTTTGGTAGTGTTAGAGGGCTGAGTTCTAAAGAGAGACCTAGTTGTCATTTCTTAATGAATCGATGTATTTCCAAAAGAAACTCTGAATTTGGGATTCCTACAGAAATTGCTTTTTGCGCTACTGACTGCACATGTGAAATACAAGACAAAGCTTTCAGCTCACAAAGATGTTGTGATGAGACACATCCTGCAGTCAAAATATGTTTAATACAGATAACATGTTGAATTGAGTCACTGGAAACATCCTTTTCCCTCATCAATAGACTGAAAAATGCAGAGAAATGAGGATGATTAAGTTTCCGCTGAATATGTGAAGAACTCTAATACTGCCCAACAGTAAAATGCAAATTAAATATATCTGAAGCAGAACATTTGTCAGATATATGCAATGAGTGGAATCAAGTAAAACTTCTGGGTGCTTTGCTACCGTAATTATTCCATATCCCGTTAAGGAAAGTTACTTGGTACCACTGAAATTATTTCTGCTACTTCTAAAACAAGCTCCTTGGTTCCACCATGTTTTGTTTCAATCTGCCTAGTTTAAATCAACATCAACCATAATTAGAGTGTTTCCCAGCATGAGACAGTTCAGGGTAAACAGTACTAGAGACTGAATTATTTTGTTTGATATGAGATAAAGTTTTGGTTGGGTTGGGGTTTTTTTTGGGGGGGGGTTGTTTTTTTTTTGTTTTTTTTTGTTTTTTTGTAGTGTTTTTTACTATTAAGTGTTGCTGAAATTTATTTTCTTTATTTTGCAGCAGATTTGTGTATATCTTAAATTTTCAGTCTGTTTGCTCTAATAAGCAAACTTCTACCAAGGTGACCCCAAAATCACTGGCTGGGCTGATTTAGTAAGTTTGACAGAACACCAGAGTAAGGTCACGTCTTCCTGCCATCTGCCAACTAGTACATGGGACAGAGGGAATGCCAGCACAATCAGTCTTTGCCTTCTAGGTGGCACCAAGACAGGCATTTCAAATATCAGATCAGCACCCTGGTTTCATCTTAGAGGTTTTACCCACACCCTACATTCCTATGAGAACAGGTTTCTTGAGCCATAATAGCACAAATTTCAATGAGTCATGAAGGACACTTGTTACAGATGGGATTGTAGGCTTAGGGTCTTCATTATTGTTTTGTGCTTTTATTCTGTGTCTTTTGCTGTGTATCTTGCGACTTCAGTTGGGTATTGTCAGTGTTAGCATGGGCTTAGGATTGGCATGAGTCCTGGTGCAAGAAAAAAAAATAAATAGGGCAGAGTGCCTCTAAGCCAGGCAGCTGGCAACATTTCCCCAAACTTTTCCTCTTCTCCCTGGCTTACTGCCTGGGCTTGCCCAGTTTGAGGGATTAAGGCCAGTTGCATTTTTTACGCTCTTCCATAGCTATGGCCCTGGGAGCTGCTCTTTGCCCACCGTGTGGAAGTACTACCTTGTACAGTTTAATGTATGTATATTGAAAAACAAGTTAAAAGATTCTTCTGTGTATAAAGCATATATAACCTAGTATCCCTTTGCTACACTGCAGTAAAAAGACCATAGTTTTTTTTCTGCATGCTTCTTGGACGTGGGATTCCACATCTGTGCCTTTGGGACTACTCTTGCGGATCTTTAGGAGCAGTAAGCAGAGTCCACCATACATTCAACTGGAAATACATACATGGCATTAGTACAGGATCTGCTAGGAGTAACACATGAGAGTTTTAACGTGAAATTCATCCTATCTACTGGCTGAAATGTAAGTTTCTTCAGCTTTATCAATAACAGTAGAAACAAAGTATAAATCTGCTCCTCTGTTGCCAGTATGACTTCAGTAAGAGCAGAACTGCCATTTTGAAAATATGTATCTACTTATCTTACCTGTGAAGCAAAAAAGAAGCTGTATGTCTTTATAAATATACATTGACATGAACTAGATTTTTAGTAACTAACTGAGCACAAGGTGCAATGTTTATTTTCTAATACTTAGCTAACTGGTGTTACCTTATTATGGAAACAGGCAGGAACCAAAGTTTCTCTTACAGCTGGCAAATAGTCCTTATAGCTGTTGTAGACTGTGCTGCTAGATAGGTTGGATTTTGCTTTCCGATACTGCTTTTCTAGATAAATAGAAGTTATAGAAAATACTAGGAAAAGAGGGGAGCAAGTGTAACCACTATGGTATCTATATATGTTTTCTAACACATAATAATGTCTTTTATAACATCAGCCATACAACTTGTGTATTTATGTTCAAAGTATAAACTGAGAGAAATGTTTAATAAAAGATGTGATAAAAATTAACTTCAGAAATACATTTCTTGGGTCACCATTTTAACTAGGAGACTAGAATTTGTACCATGCGTTAATGAATAACATACATATTAATGGACTCATGAAAGGGAAAATAGGTATGTGATTAGGACAACGAGGATGTATCTTTTTAGGTTTTTAGTTTCTACAATTTAAATACCAGCAAATGGAATTTCTCAAAATGATTCAGTCTCTTAGAATAAGTTTGACCGGTGTATCAGTGGACCCAAATAATGTTTAAGCAGTAGAATTTCTGCTATGCAGTCTACATTGAATTTGGGCAGCATGTATGATGCATAAAAATGAGAGGAATTAATGTTCCAAGTGAGTGTAATACAGCAGAGTGTTAACAGAGGAAATTAATTTTCAGTTGCTAACTGGCAATTCTTTCTAATTAATCTGCCCTAAAGAGTATATACAGAGCCCCATGATTGTGTTTAAATATGGAGACTTGTATTCATCAGAGTCAGCAATAGCCTTTTTGCGTGTACCTGCACTATTATAAACAAACAAGAAGAATTACTGATTGTGCATGGTTGCTAGTGAGGCCTGCCTTGTTGTTCCCGTTCTTACACATCTCTTCAATATATGGTTCTGAAAAATGTCAGATCACAAGAGTGCAGGATAGTGTATGTTCATGCATCTGAAGGCAGATTCTGTCCCACAGGGAATTTACTGCTCATTATTTATGGGTTTGAGGCTGAGAGCTAAACATTGCCCATTGGAGAGAAGACAGTATTGAGAAGTATTTCCTGAACTACGCTTCTGTGCTTAAACTTCAATGTTCCTCCTCCTGTTTAATTTTCTGAGCACGTAAAGACAAATAGTTTTTTGTAAAATGCATTTGGGGGAAAAATCTGTGGTTTGAAAGGTGCAGCTATATTGAAGGGCTCTGTAAGAGTTCATCTGTATTGCAATGAGTGATACCATGGAGCTGATATAGTATTTTTAGATTGCTTTATATATATTCATAGTAATAATACTTCACATAATAGTCCTGTTAGGCAGATTAATATAATCTGTAGCTAGGAAGAAGCTGAGTTGAAGAATGTTTGCCTGACTTGAAGCTGCATTATGACTCTGTGAAAGTACACAGATTAAAGCCACTACTGCTCTTTAAGCCCATGATTAGCCCTTTAAACTGCCTCCTTCTTGCAGGCATCCTGTACGCGTGGTTGTTGAGACTGTGCTAGTGAACTGGCCAGGAGAAGGGCAGCAACAGGAGCACTGATCTATGATCATAGTCAGTAGCTGGCTGTCTGGAACTCAGCCTGGTCTGGGCTGCTCCCATCAGACAGCACTGACAAGGCTGCTTATCTGGGATATTTTGGGTACTGATTAACAACAAGAATGTAAAATGTGTGGTCCCACTTGCATAATAGGCGCTTTGCCTCTGGAGTCTTGATGCTAATGTGGCCTGACATGTATCTATACAAGCTACTTCATATGGGAAGGTTGCCAGCAGTCTAGAACTTGAGACCAGTCTCTTACGGTCAGGAGACAGAAATACGTATGAGCATAGACTTGATACCAGTACATACGTGTGCCAGTGGCTGGGATGAGGAGTCTTCTTGTTACTCTGTGATAGCTCAGCTGCATGCACCATGCCACAGCTCAAAATTCTGGTTTATTTATAGTTGTATGTAGAATCTACATCCCATTTCCGCACAAATGCGGATCTATCTGCTATTGATTTAAGAAGTCTAGCTCAATATCTTTTCCCAATTGGTTTATATGCTGCTGCCTTGTACTTGTGCTTACTTGATCCTAGCGTTTTTCCTGAAAGGCATGCCTGGCTACCAAACTGCCAGAAACACTCTTTGTCTCCTAAAAGAAAGAATCAAAATAGCAACACTGAAGCAACTTCAGATGAAAGGTTCTGAAAATTTCCTAGGCAAATGAGGATTTACTGTGTGCCTCCATTTGAAATGCAACAATGTCGATGTATGACCGAAAACACCTCAAGTGCATTGGCCAAGCTCCATAAACCACATTGTAAAGGCAGTTAGTCTTTCACAGCATGACCTTCAAAGGCGTTCAAAGAGAATTTTTTTTTCCTCCAGCAAAACAGGCCTTGACAGCAGAACTGCAAGTTCTCGTGTTGTATATATTATACTCCAGGGATAATCATAGTTATTATTAACGTGTGTCCCAACCTGGAAGATGAGTGAGAACACCTAGGATTAAAATGGCACACCTTGGGGGAGCTGAAATCATTGTAAGAATTCACTGGAAATACGATTTAAGGAGTATTTTGACATCAAAAGATTCAGGTGAGCCTCCAGCAAAGTTTTATCAAGCACCAACATACCTAATTTCCACTAAAACCTCTACATGCCCAAATGAAGATAAAAAGAAAGGTTTTGAATTCAAGAAACCATTTACAGCTTTGCTACGGTTACAGAATTTTAATTTTGCTTTCTATTATTCCACATTGGAGAGAAATTCTAGGGGTTTCACCTTAAGCATCAGGGTTGCCTTGAATTTTGGCACAAAAAAATGCATTGACCCATGACTTCCAAAGCAAAAGGCAGAAGTTGTTTCCTGTGGGCTTTTCTGATTTGTTCTTTCTGTGTGCATTTCAGGTTGCAGAATGTGCCTCTCAGACTGCACTAAATGCTTTTTTAATGTTCCCTTACTGAAGAGGTTTGTTTTGTTGTGTTTTTTATTTTCTTTTTCTGGAGAGTTGGGTAGTACAGACTACATGCATTAATGAGGATTACCCCTAGTTTGGACAAGATTTGTAAACACAGCTTCTCTGCAATGTTGCTTAGAGCAGTCTCTGACGCCCTTAATCCTGATCACAAGCAACTGACACTGTCAGTTAACTTAAGCTGCTTCTACACTGCTGAACTCAAGAGCACTTGGAATGTTCCTGATGCACATCCAGAGGCTCTGTCAGGTGAGATCCGTGTGCTAGTCCATGCCCTGCACAAACCCTGCTGTCTGGGCACACAAAGGTGGCTATAGCCTACACCTGTACACGAGAAGGTCTCATTGTCACACCAGTATTCTGGGAGAAATGTGCTGATGACAAGGTGTTTTGCTCACAATTCATAGTCATGGATGCATGTTGATGAGACAGGTGGTGGGACAACCCATGGCTGGTTATGGCTGGATAATCTCAGAGCACTGTACAGAGCAAGGGTTTGTTTTTATTTTCTTCAAATTCTTTGGGGTTTTATTATTTGTTTTGGGAATTATCTGCTACAAGCTGATAATGCCCCTGATGCAAAACCAGCTCTTTCCATTCAGTTCTACTATTTGGGTATTTTACAGGGATGTGTGAAAACTAACGCACAGACAGATCAGCCAGGGTTAGCATTGAGTGTACACAACATAGCCTACCTAACACACCTACAGCATATATGGTTTTTGTATTGCAAATACACAAGTAGTTTAGGCATCTTTGGCTACTCAGCAGAAATACAATAACCATTTTGTCTGTGCAGCAATAGCATCAAAACAATTCTTGAGGATGTTGTGTTATAATACCAAAAAGCATTTCATGTAGGAGTGTTCAGCTGTCAAACACAGGGTGAGCAAAATGACTTGGGTTTTCTGTTTGGGCTTTTTGTTGCCTTTTTTTGTTTTGTTTTGGGGGTTTTTGTTTGTTTTTTTGTTGTTGTTTTGTTTGTTTGCTTTGCTTTTTTGTTGTTTTTTTTTGTTGTTGTTGTTGGTTTGCTTTTGGGTTGTTTTTTTTTATTTTGACTTTTGGACATGGACCTGAGCTCCAGCTACTGCAGGAACCACCACCACCAGCTACTGCCACTATGTGTCTGATCCTCTGGTATGCACAGGTGGAATGCTATGGAGTTTCATCTATGCCAGTTTCAGAATTTTGATGCTGCAATGTTTATTTTTCTAAGCCTTGTGCCAATCTAAATCACAAAAGAATAGCTTACCAACAGCTATGCATCTGCATAGACACTGGCAGCAAGTCTAGATTGTGTAGGCACACCAGTCCTACCTCGTGTGCTAGACATGTGCCCACAATGTCATGGACTCAGTGAGTGAAGGCTGCAAAGTCCATCTAACTGCCCGAGTAAATAACTGAGCATGGCGCCATCCTCAGCTCCATGCTGCCATGGGTACACTACCTGCACAGTTCTACCTTGCTTGCTTGTAAAAGCTACCCTGCATGTCCCGTGTGTGAGCTACATTCTGAGCCCATTATCTAGGAAGGTTTAAAGCCTCTTGGTCCATAGGGTATGGGTTGAGTGTTTCATTTGGGTGAAATAACAATTTTGTTAAATGATTCCTAACCCTCTTAAACAAGAAATTCTGTAGCTTCACTTGACAAGAATCAACCCCCTGAGACTAGGCTAATTAATTTTTAATGTGATCTGCTGGCAAATTTTACTGAGGAGCAGAGAATTTGCTCCAGCTAACAGGTAGGCCAGACCTACAGAACAGCCTCAGAGCTGGGAATCGGAGCAATGAAGCTGCTACTGCAACCAATGGGAGGAAGAAAAGAAAAGCAGTACCTCTCCCAAGAAGAGCAGAACCCTGCTAAGCGCTGAGGAGATGTACATCTCTCTGGCTCAGGATGCCATTTGGTGTCCCTATCGTGAGAATGGCATTCTGCTTTACTGTCCATTTCAGCATCAGAGTCATCACAGTCTGACATCTTCTAGGAAGCAGAAATTCCAAATCTTTTGTTTTGCCTGATTTAGATTGAACAGACAGAAAGGTGTAAGATGAAAAAACATTGCTATTCATATTTCATCTGGATTTTATTATTTTTCTTTTACCAGAGAAACATCTGATAATTTTTTTTTTGTTCCAAACTGTAATCCCTTTTTAATATTGAGCATTTCTCCTGGTATGTGAAAGACAGGATGGGCTGTGTGTGACTGGGCAGGAACTAAGGTTTCTGGGACAAAGAATACACTCCCCTTCCTGCTTTTATTCACCTCACTGTGCTCACCACTCTTCTGTTGTTGCTCCTGGCTAATTGCCCCTTGCAGAACACAGGTATCTTAGCAAGTGTTGATGGCCAGTAGCAACAGTTAGAAGCAGTTAGTCCCTCTGAATATTCTTCATGCTGGCTGGGCTACAGAAGCACAAGACAGACACCAAATTGTGTATTAGGTAAGCTGTGTGATTACCCGATTTCTTCAGGACAGGTCTGGGACAATCATTTTACAGCTGTCTGTAGCTACACCAGTCTGACTTTACAGCTAATGGAAAGAAACAAGGAATATCAAAGGATGATTTACCTCATCCTAAGATAAGGTGTCTAAGATCGGTGAGAAAAACTGCCCTCCAGACAGGGTTATTCATTTTACATTAATTATAAATGGAGCTTCAGGGAACTCGAGTTAAGTAGGGAATCCAAACTAGAACTGAGATGATTTCTACAACAGGTATCCCAGTTTTTAGCATCATCTCCAGTTCTACTGAAAACTGAAAGGCTAGTTGATGAGCAGCCTTATCCTTCACAGGTTTCTGACGGAGCAGTATTTCAGAGAAATTGTGCTAATAGGTCAGCAACTTGTGTTTTTACTGACTGTGTTTTTACTGAAAGGTTTGATGACAAAGGGTTATAGGGTACCAGAAAGAAACTTAAGAGGGGGTGCAGCACACTGAGGCTCACAAAGGTAGGGAATCACTGCCCAAAGTTAAACTTTAAGAAAGCAGAACTGAGGTCATTTTGCCCACTCTGCTTCTAGCTGTGTCCAGTGAGGGCAGAGGATAAAGTCTGCAACAGCTGACTGCTAAATGACTTCTCAGGCTAGGACATCCATGGAGCCTGGATTCTGTGTAGGTCTTTTACTGGCTCCAGCCATAGGGGCAAGTATGGCCTCTAAACACACAGTGTGCTGCTTCTTATCCACCACTGACTTCCAATCCTTTACAGAAACTGTTGCTCAGACACCTCTGTGTACACATGGACTGAAATGTGATGTGCCAGTTAAACCCAAAGAGGATCTAAGCAAATCTGTCTGTGCTGAAAATCATCATATATTCAGAAAGCATGAGTCAGAACAATCTCAAATGGTCTCAGATATGATACTGCTGCTACAGTCACATAACTCTTGGCAGTCAGAGTTCTGAACAGAAGTCAGGCACCTCAAGGGGACATGATCCTCCACAGAGGAATAGAACAACAGGGATTTTTAAAGTGAAAATAATTTCCCAGACCTGTATCAGTTGCCTAATTTCAGTGTCATCTTGAAATATATGGTATTTAAAGTAACATGGAACAGCAGGAAGATTAGTTCCTGACGTCAGGAGAGAAGAATTATTTCTGGCAGGTTTTAATGGATCTGTGAAATCATCACATGGAAACTTCTTCCAGCCAGTTAAGAATAAAAGCACATACAGAAATTAACAGTCCAATCATATAATGGGGCCTAATTAGGGGACAGCATGAAATTCACAATTATGCCAAAGCCACATGTTGTGGTCACCAGTTATTCTAAGATCCCTGCAATACTGTATGATTCTTAATTATCTTACAGCACCAAGAAGCATGCTGGCTTCTCTCAGTAGAGATGAGATATGACCTCAGCTTGAAAATCAGCCTTCTGGTTAAGCACAGCATTGAAGTGCACAACATGAACAAAGCCAAAGGTTTCAAGTGGCTACAGTTACCCAGTATCTCATCTGCTGAGTATGTACACTCGGTGTACAAGTACTGTGTATATATGAATTATCTGACTCCTGGAAGGCTGTCTGGAGACAGGCAAGATGGCCTAGTCTTATAAAGACCATTTTGACTTGACAGATGAAGATGTAGCTGCAGTCAAATCATAAAAATGTTTACATATTTTATTTAGAAAGAAGTCCCAAAACTTAGGTGTATGAAGTCCTGACATTTTGAGGTTTCTTGAATTCTCATTTTCAGGTTTTTCTCCCCTCAGCTTATCTGTTTTTCTCTTTCAAATAGGCTGCATTATTATTCATGTTTCCCCTTTAGTTACCTGCTGTATTTAACACTCACCCATTTGACGTTAGTCATTCTGTACTTGTGTGTTTGTTCTTGTTTGTTGTCCTTACTACAATCAAACCTAGACAGTAATTATATAAGACCTAGATATCAAGCACTTGAGTGTATTAAGGGCTAACTCAACACCTATGAGTTTTAGCACAGCTAAAGGAAAAAGGTAGGATTAATGGGACAAAATGAATGGGAAGACACCCAATCATGCTTAACCATCACCACTATGATGCTGGAAGAACATACACCCCCAATGGTTACATTGCCAACACATTGGAAATGAACGGTCAGGTTTGGAAATGAATGGTCAGGTTAATTTGAGAGAGGAGACTAGTAGCTTTGCAAGTCTGCTCAGGAGTGTCTCCACTTGCTGGGCGGCTGCAGGAGAACCAGTCTGACGGGACCCTGGAGTCAGTGGAATGAGAGAAAAAGAAAAGCTGCAGATGAACAGTGTTTGGAGACAGCAGTATCATAGGAAAACTATACATTGCAATGGCAACATGATACATCCAGGCACCAGCAATGGTTCAGAAAGGCTTAGATAGCACAGTGTCAGTGCCTACTACCCTGGTAGAAGTCAGATTGTGGCCCGCAGTGGGACTTGAGCTAAGTACCAGCGACTGCACTGGGTGCAGATCCAGGGTACAAGTAATATAACACGAGGGCTTTTTTCAAGAAACTGGGAAATGGGTTTAATTCTGGGAATCCCGATGACAGCCTCAGCGTTGAAGAGCAGGACAAAATGGGAGCCTGACACAAACTGCAGTCAAACGGAACCCACCTGGCCTCTACCTCGCTGTGTCTCCGCGGGCAGAAACCCGAACAACCCAACAGCTGCGGTTGGAAACCCTCCCGCAGCGAGAGACGGGGAGCGCCCAGGCGAGGTGGGAGGCCGGGCTGCCGGAGGGGCCGTGGTCAGCCGGGCCGCCGTGCCCATCAGGCCGCCGCTGCAGCAAACCACACGGGCCCTGCCTTAGGAAGGGGAGCAGCAGTTACCTCAGGAACTGCTTTCCCCACCCCGCTATGAGGTGAGGACCCGCCGTTTCGCCGCCCGGCGGCGCCAGGAGGGAGTTTCTCCTCAGCAGGGGCAGGTGGGGCCGTTCTGCCGCCTGCCCCGCCTCACCGCAGCGAGGGAGCGCGGACACCCGGCCCGGAGCGCCGTCGCTTCCCGCTTCAGGGGCTGCCCCTTGCCGGGCGCTGCTGCGAGCAACAGGTCCGTGCTTTTTCCTCCCTCCGCCAGTGCGGGAGTGTGTCAGGCGAACAAAGGGGCTGAGCGCGGCCCCGCGTCCCCTCCACGCAGCGGCCGCCCGGCCCCTGTGCTTCAGCCATTTGCGTCGCCTGGCATCGCACCGCTGCTTCCCCAGCACCGCTTCTCCTTCCCAGCTTCCCCTACCAGCTCCGACTCCAACCGCCGCTGCGCTGCAGGCAGCGAGGCGGCGTGGAGGGAGCTTCCCCAGAGCGACGTGGGGCTCGCCGGCCGTCACCCAGAGGTAAGCCCCTGCCTGCCGGGAGAAAAGGAAGAGGCAGCGCGGCGGCGGGCCGGGAAGGGGGTCGGACACGTCTGGGAGGCGGGGGGCCGCGGCTGCAGACTCGGGACGTGCCCGACCCCCTCCGGGCTCCCCGCCTCGGAGCCTCCGGGGAGAATCGATTCCGGTATCTGCCCATAGCTGAGGTAAAATAGGCGCCGCGGAGAGAACGGTAGCAGTGTGGGGAAGTTCGGAGCACCCTCAGGTTTAATAGTGCTTTTCCCTCAGTACCCCTTAAACCATCTCCCTGGAAGAGAAGTCCAAGCATATATCCGTATCCCTTCTCTGTATGTCGCAGAGGAGCCAAACGTGATGCCTGCGTATTTTGTTTTCCTGCTGACCTACTAAAAATCTGAATGACTCTTTACAATAGCGTATAGAAATGTTTAACAGCATCAGATTGCTTCCCGCTATAAATTCTTCATGGCGTGCTTCCCCATCCTATTAAAAACACATGAGAGGTGTGAGCCCTGGGTGTACACATGAGTGCATGGCTTTGCAGGGTGGAAGATGCTTGAATAAAAGTCCTACTGAGTTTCATTTGTCCAAAGCTCATATTTTTTTTTTATGTGTGGTCCTTTAAAGCAAAAAAAAAAAGAAAAAGCAAAAGACAGCTCCCAGACCCAAACTTACAGATGGCAGAAATTGATAGTATTAGATCCTATAGCCAACTTTTTTCACCTATCTAGGAGAAATAAAACCTTCTAGAAATAATATTATATAAAGCTTTTCCACATCAATAGAAAATTAGAACAAAAAGCTAGAAAAAAGTAGGGCAATAAAAAACTAGAATAGCAATAAAATAGAGCAATCTTTTTATATGATCTGAGAAGCTAAAGAGCTCCGTTTTTCAGACTTAACCATCTGTCTCCCAGAAATTAAATGGAATGTTTATGGAAAATAGTAATTATATTGTCAGTAGTATTGACAAAACAATATGTGCTCCCCTGGTTTAACTCTGGCTCATCCTGCCTGTTCTGCATTCTTCTCTTCCCAGCACCCATCACAGAGCATTTATTCACTCTTTAATTAGGACATCCAGTGCATGCCAGTGGGATCCTCCAGTCATCCACTGCTAATGGCAGTTTCTGATGAGAACCTGCCAAGAGCCCAGGACTGGTCCCTTGCCTGCCCCAGTTCCCCCCAGTCTGCATGGCCTTGCTCCTGGCAGTAGTGACACTGAAGTCAACGGTGACTCTTTTAGGAGATGGAGCTCACAGGACTGTGCCTTGTTAATATCAAAAGATTGAAATCCTTAATAGCTTCCTTTCTTCTATGAATGCTTTGCTTGCATTGCTTTTCAGTGTAACAAATCGTCCAAATAGATGGACAGATCTGAAATGTCCATAAATATTAGAGCACCATTACTTGGCAGGAACATTCAATGAAAGCCATTAACTGGCTTTACTATAATAAAGCAGGATTATAGTATTGGGGCTGGCCTGGGTTACTATAAAGACAGTGATGTGGTTAGATGACTGGATCCAGATCCTACTTAGCAGGGGTTTTGGCATCCTATAGTATCTTGTTGCAAGAGGGTATTAGGGGCAGCTGGCTGCTAAAGAAGGGTGTAATAAAACAAGAAAGGAAATCCTGCAATTTCTTCTAATGTAGAATTAACATTTTTTCTTTTTTTTTTCCTGGTGAGATCCTGTATGGATTTTGCAGGAATTTTGCTATTTATCCCTTCTGAGAGTTTCTGTAGCATTGCAGTTAGGCTATCTCTTTCCTGTGAACAGAATTTGAGAAGTTATTTTATACCACTTCACATCCTTGAAAATGCCCATGTAAAAAAATGAGCTCATTTTCATTGTGTTTTGATCTCGTTAGTCTTCTCAGGACATGACACTTTTATATCTGCTGGGTTACTTTTCAATGGAATTGTCATCATCTGTTCTTTCCTACTTCTGTTTTGGTCTCAGTGTTGTTTTGTCAGAGAACAGGCATGATTAGTTCCTTTCATTGACAAAGAATTACTTTATGGTAGCTCAGGATTTGACAACCAGATGAACCTAATGCATGACTGATCTGTCACTGGGTGGGAAGGGATCCTGCTCCTTCCCTAGCCTGGGACATACATTATTGCCAGCTTCCTTGTGCCAGCACTAGTAACCATGTGATGGTACAGTGAATGGATAGAGATTTTGCCTTCCTCCTGCAGTTAATGAAGCAAGCACTCAAGTTGACATATGTCAATGTTGGTATTATGAGTGGTGGTCCTAGTCCTGTGACCAGAGCATTTAAATCTGCATGTAACTCTGCAGGATCAGTACCGTACATTGGTGTGTGTTTTCCTTAGATAGCGTTAGCAATTAAGTGGCATTTTTTCTGTCCTTATCCTAAAATGCTACTTGGATGCTAACCATCAATTCTGGCTTTGAACAAGTTACAGGACTGGGTCATTATTGTATATGGGTGATTGAGTGTTAATGCAACAAAGAGTTGGCTGGGTCCTTCGTTCTGCACTGCATGTTTGGTACTTTCTAGAGTCTTACTCATCATCAGTGAGGATAGTAGGAATTCGTGATCGGTTAGATCAGTTTATTTAATGCAAGGCAAGCTAAAATAAAACATCCAGTAGTTCCACGGATTTTGCACTCTGGCAGGGAGAAGAAAGATGTGTCACATAAATGCTTTTCAGGTGCAAGGTTTCATGAACTGCCATTGCTATGCCTCTGGCTAAACCAGACAGGTGGACAACCATTTTTTATTCACTTAAACACATCAGAAACCACAACCTTTCCATACAAATCCACATAAATTGGACAAGTGGTTTCCATGCTGTTGTGTTGTCTGTCACAACATGATTTGCATTAATTAATAGTATTGAAGTTACCTTACACGTGCACATTCACAGATTAGCACAAGCTGTTTGTTGTTTTTCTGGACACTGATTCCTCCAGAAGTATTTTGAGGAGTAAGGTTTGCATATGGATCTCAAAGTGCTGGAAGGCTCCTGGATTCCTGAATCATTTCAGCCCATCAACATGTCAGAGATCTGCAGTGTTTTTCTTCCTTTTCCATTTTTTTTTTTTTTTCCTTGGAAGCAGCTCTGCTTTCCTCTCCCTCTCTTGTAAGTAGATTGGAAGAACAGTCCCCAAGCTCTGGAGATAAACTATTATTTCTGTGACCCATATTTTGAAGTATTGGGAAGAACCAAAAGCCAGCCCTTTGCTACAGGAACAGCGTGCGAACAACAGATGTTCTGATTCTGTCAGTCAAAGACAAATCTTTTTATGGTAGAGCTCTTCTCTTATCCTGTAGCTTTCTTTCAGCTCTCCTTTACTGCAGCTCCCCCCATTGCCTCAGTTAAAAAAAAAGCTACACGTACATACACATTTGATTGTACAGTTGTGGTGAGTTGACCGTGGCTGCATGCCACATGCCCACCAAAGCTGCTCTGTCACTCTCACAGAGGAAAGAAAAAAGCTCGTGGGTTGAGATAAGGACAGGGACAGATCACTCGCCAGTTACCATCATGAGCAAAACACACTTGGGGAAATTAATGTAATTTATTACTAATGAAATCAGAGTAGGATAATGAAAAATCTAAAAACACCTTCCCCCCACCCCTCTTCTTCCTATGCGCAACTTCACTCTCAGTTTTCTCTACCTCCCCCCAAGTGGTGCAGTGGGTTGGGGTCAGTCTATCACACATTGTTTCTGCTGTTCCTTTCCTCCTCAAAGGAAGGACTCTTCACAGTCTTTCCTTGCTCCAGCCTGGGGTCCCTCCCACAGGAGACAGTCCTCCAGAATTCCTCCAACAGACTACAGTTCTTCATGGTGTGGGTCCCTTCCACAGGGTGCAGTCCTGCAGGAGCAGACTTCTCCAGCATGGGTTCCTCTTTCCACTGGGCCACAGGTCTTGCCAGGAGCCTGCTCCAGTGGGGACTTCCCCAGGGGTCACAGCCCTGCTCTGGCATGGGGTCCTCCTACAGAGGTGTTAATTGCTGTTGCTGATGGTCTTGGTCTTGGTCATTGGTGGATCCATCTTCCAGCCAGCTGGCATTTGCTCTGTTGAACACAGGAGAAGCTTATAGCAGCTTCTCACAGAAGCCACCCCTGTACCCCCTCGCTGCCAAAACCTTGTCATGCAAACCCAGTACAGCACTGTAGGAAATCCAGATGCTCATATAGTTAATGGGAATTTTCCCTTGACTGCAACGGGGATGGGATTTAAAGTGATGTCAGACTCTGGCTTTATCAAAAAGCTCTGTGAAACTTAGGTGGAAATTTCTAGCTGCAGGCTACTAGCACAAGCCTCATTCTCTCCAAAGCCATGGAAGTGGGCAGTACACAGATACCTTCTTGATTAGTAACAACTGATAATAAGAGTTCTGAAGGAGTTTGGTTTTCACAGCAGATACAGAAACAATAAAGTAAATGTCACTTGAATGTATTGCTTTTGTGAGGTTTACAGTCAGTTAGTGCCATGTGTCCCAAGAAGTTTACACTGTAATATAGGAAACGGAGAGAAGAGTGTTCATGTGTATTCATCTGATAAAATTCACTGGTGCTGCTTGTCATTGGTTAGGATGAGGTCTGTACCACTCATTCTTTGTGACAGAAGACTAGAAGTCCTTCATGATGGGCAACAGAGTTGTCTATGAGATTTTTAGCCCAATGCCTGGACAGTGTCCCTGCCAAGACATTTTGGCGCCTTATGGGAAATAAATGCTTGTATTGCGTGCCCAAAATTGAGCAGGTTTTCAGAGAACAGTAGCTGAAAAGCTTCAATATCTGCTTTTGGGAAATGTTGATGTGTAACTAAAATCTCTCCCTAGTCAGCAGAAACTATAGATTTATGATTGAAGCATCAGAACTTCAAAATGGTCAAGAACCACAGACTAGGACCTCTGAATCTCTGCTTCTCACACATCCCAAATCACAATCATAAAACTAAACATCTCTTTGCCTCACATCCTGATTGAAACATCTTAGTTCTTACTCCAGGTCCCAACTGT